TTCCGGAGTCGAAGCCAGACTCCGCGGACTGCCCCGCTGAGCCTAGAAGGGTAGTGGCTTGTGTAGGGGCCGCCTTTGCCGACGGCCCCTGATATCTAGCCCAAGAGTCTTGCGACCCCGTGGGCAGACCACCGCTTTGGGCTAATGGAGTGGTGGCCCCCGTTAGTTGCGAATCGTCATTCTCGTCGTTTGTAGCAGGTTGCCCTGCATAAGTTTCAACATGAAGCGGTGACCGTGGCTGAAGAGACCACCAATATTGTCAGGGGCTCGCTCAGCAATGTGAGCATATGACCTCATGCGCTCAAGTAAAGAATCAACTTATTGTTGATTCCTCGACATTTGGTGGTTGAGTGGCTGTAGGAGTTGTTGCGCACGCGACGTCCCCACTCCTAAGGCTCTGAACTGGACGTTGGGGGTGTTGAAGCCTGCCGTGTCAGCCTCGCGGCGGGTTATCTCGAAGCGTGCTAGATGTCTGGTCGGCCCGTTCTCCAGCATGGGCACGGAAGTCGATGAGAGCCGTTCCCGAGTTAAGTTGGCGTTCCCCCTCTAAGCTCTCAAACTTCGTGCTAAGGAGGAACATGATGTAGGTGGCGCCACCGGTAGGGCGACCACCAACAGTATCGCCAAAGTTGATAGGTGCGGGGGGGCCTCTCATGGCTATGGTCCGCACGAGACCTCCAAGTCCACGCTGCAGTGCTGCAGCCTGGTGGGAGGGCGTCATATTCCCTGTGGTCACGTTGATCCAGGCATGTGCCTCTCGAGCGAATTCGTGGACAGGTACTTGACTGGCCGGATCCCAGTGGGACCCGGTTGTTTTTGCGTCGTCTCCGCCACGCATGTGTCCCACATCACACCCGATAGCAACCCATGTAGGACCAAATGTAGCAATGCCAATCCAACGGCCCCGTAGGTCGCAGTCGGATGTTTGTGGCTGGGCTTTGTGGTGTTTTGTTGTAAGGCTGCGTGGGGCGGAGGCACCACAATATCGTATCGCATGTTGCCATGCATGATATCTTCAAAAACAACATTCCAAGTGGAGTAGGTGGGTGGACTTCAGGAGTGTAATAGCGCAGGGGTGTAGGACTGGAATCAGAGGCCTCCGCGTGAGCAGAGGTAGTACGGCAAGTGTCCTTGCGGTTGTGCGTAGTCATGTACATTCCTCCGTGCAAACCCACTGCACCCGGATGTTCCACCATGTCTGTAGTCCACCAGGTGGTGCCGTGGATGGTGACGAGTAGAGCAAGAGCTGGCCACCATAGGCCAGCTCCGCTACCAAGTTTGCAGGCGGCTGGGAGGCCCAACCAGCACCTTCGCCTTAGGCGAAGCCCAGCTCCAGCTCTGTTGTACCGTAGTAGCGATAGTCCCAGTCGGAGGAGGTCGTCGCGGGAGCGACGTGCCATCTCAAGCGAAGGTGTTGTCGGTCTCGATGGCAAGTCGTATGCCTCGCGATGAGGCGCAGTCATATGTTGGCGGCAGCCCGCTTGAGCCCAAGCGGCGACGGACAAACGCTCGCTATCTCTCGCCCTTGTCCCAGCTCACTTTAGACTGGCCCCGCCGCCGTTCGGCCGAGCGTTCGGGGGTAGCCTGTGACACTCTGCTGTCGCAGGGAAAAAAATGTATAGCCGCTGAGTCTGCTTCGCCGTCAATGCGCAGGTTAGTGGGCCCCGCAAGCCCACTGGGGGGCAACCCGCTGTTGAAAGGGATCCACACTACTGGGGCTCAACGGCCCCCCTGGCGCGCCGGCAGGGCATCGGGCGGGCGCCGCCGCGGGCCAGTGCTGAAACTCGGCCAGGCTCCAATCCGAGCGACGATCTTCGGGCGGGCCCTCCCCCCCCGCCACCGCGCATGGCGGTCCCTCGCTGGCGCTGCCACCCTGGTCTCCTCCCACGCGCTGCCACTGACCGAGGCTGCCTCCACCCCCCGCCCCCCCAGCGCCGCCCGCCCGCTCCGCCGCGCTCCGCCGGCATGGCAGTCTCCCTGTCTACAATGCATCGCGTACCCTTTCGGGATCATTGCCCTGCTCGACATCCGACTGTGCGAGTAGAGAGGGATCTACGCCATGGTAAGGGATGGGAGGGAGGGGTAGGATGTCAGATATGACGCGAGCGCACCCAGCTTGTCTCCCCCCCCCTCCCCCATGGTGCGTGTTGGCCCCGGCGTGGGCCCCGAAGAAAAGGCCGCGGGGAGTGTGCCCCCCGGAAGGCCAGGTCACTGTGCGCTCCTCCACTTCGCCCGGCATCTGCGCCCCTGCTCGTCGGCACCTCCCACCCCTCGTCGGGCATTCCGGGCCGCAGCCGTTCGGCCGCGCGTTCGGGCGTAGCCCGTGACGCTCTGTTGTTGTCGGCAGGGGGTAGAACTGCTGAGTCTGCGTCGCAATCGATGCCCAAATTAATGGGTCCCGTTAGCCCGGCGGGCAACCCGCTGTTAAACGGGGTGCGGAACGCCGGGGTTCAGTGGCCCTCCTGGCGCGCCCGTAGGGCACCGGGCGGGCGGCGTCTCCGGTCAAATCAGAAGCTCGGCTGGGCCCAGTCCGAGCGGCGCTCGTCGAGCGGGCCCTCCCCCCCGCCATCGCGCATGGCGGCCTCTCGTTGGCGTTGCCGCCCTGGTCTCCTCCCGCGCACCGCCCCTCACCGAGGCACCCGCCGCCCCCTGCCCCCTCCAAACCCGCCCGCCCGCTTTGCCGCGCCACCCCAGCTTAGCCGTCTCCCTGCCTTCCCCCCCCCGCTCCCCTATGGTGCGCGCTGGCCCCGGCGTGGGCCCCGAGGAAACGGCAACGGGGAGTAGGCTGCCAGCTCTGGTCAGCTTCTGCCTTGCACGCGTCGCCCTCCTACTCGTCATCTTCGGGCCGCGCCTTGCAGAAAAGTTCTGGGGCCACATTTGGGGCGGAGGGCCGGGCCGTTCAGCCGCCAGATGGTGGCTGCTGCGACCGCTGCGCGCAGATTGCCGCCCTCTAAGAAGCCGTATTGGGGGTTGCTAGCCCAGGCTGGCCCCCGTCGAGCAGACCGACAACAGGCTGCGAGCTGGGGGCTCCCAAAGCAAAGGGTGTCCCAAATTAGCAACTGCTCGGTCGATCCTATTCCACCGATTAACTGTAAATGGCGGCCCGCTCGCATACCTGGAAGTAAGACCAGTGATCCTCCTCCTCCTCCTCTCCTCCTCCTCCTCCTCCTTTTCCTTTTCCTCCTCATGTTCCTCCTCCTCCTCCTCTTCCACATCCTCCTCCTCCACCACCTACAACTCATCCACCTCCACGTTCCATCATACACCTCCTCCACCACCGCCTATACCGTCTCCTTTCACCATCATCCTCATCCACCTCCACCTACTCCTGCACATCCACCTCAAACTTTCCTTCTCCACCTCCTACTCCCCTCCTCCTACTCCCCTCCTCCTCCTCCTCCTCCTCCTGCTCCTCCTCCTCCACACCGAAGTCTTTTTTTTACGTTGCACCGACTTTACCGATCGGTAGCGCAGCGTCTGTCCTCGAGCTCCTCCTGCACCTTCCCATCCTCCTCCTCCACCCCTTCCTCCCCCTCCCCTCCTCCACCCCTCTTCCCCTCCCCTGTGTTTCCTCCTCCTCCTCCCCTTCCTCCTCCTCCTCCTCCTCCTCCTCCTCCTCCTCCTCCTCCTCCTCCTCCTCCTCCGCCTCCCCTCCTCCTTCGCTCCGTCCCTCGAGGGGAGAGGACGGAGGAACAGAAGGAGAGGAAAGACGAGAAGGACAGGCCGACTGCCTGATAGACGGAAGACGTGGAGGACGAGGAGGATGAGGAGGGAAGGATGAGGAGGACTGGCTGGCTGCCTGACAGACAGGGGAGGGGAAGGACGAGGGAAACTTCCTGGCCGATGAGGAGGAGGGGAAGGAGGAGGTAGAAGAAGAACTCTACCCTCCTCTTCCTCCCCTGTCATCGAAGGGGAGGTGGCAGACACAACGTGAACCTAGGATGCGGCCGAAAGGAAAAGCGGTATATGTTGACGGGCCTAAACTTTCGTGGGCGACGAACGGTATAATGTGGACGACTCCGCCGTCAGGGACTAGAGGCCTCCTAGATGGGGACGGAGCAGATGTGCTCGGAGGATCGCGCCGCATCGCCGATACGTCGGCGATGCTCTGGCGATGCATCGTCGACGTGGGCGATGCATCGGCGACGTCGACGTGAAGCAAATCTGGCTCAGCATCGAGCCGCATCGGCGGCGCGTCAGCGATGGATCGGCAATGAGGCGCGGTCCTCCGACCGGGGGGGCGGCCTGGAGGGACGCCTGCCCCCCCAGGGCAGCTGGACAAAGGATGCCCCTACGTGGCACCGTAGGGGTATTAAACTCGGCAGCCGCAATGGCAGGCGTCCCTGACGGCGGACAAGTTCATGAATGTTATACCGCTCTGCGCCCCCTACACGATACGGACACAGGCGGACTACCGGCGAAGGCTTAGTGGAGACGCCAATTCGCGCCACACACTCCTTTGGCCGTCTCTGCAGTAGCCCTACCAGCTCGCCAGCGCGCGCGCCGAGCGGAGGAGGAGCGGCACAGACGTCAACTTCTGGACGTCCGCGCGGACGGATGTCTACGATCGGGGCTGAACCCTCGCCGGGGGCGAATACTCCGGCGAGTCCGCCGCTGTCTTTGGCTCCCTGGCAGCAGCGCTGACGGCGCCCACAGGGGAAACGCGCGAGGGGGGCAGCTCTCTTAGGCGGCAAGTGGCCTTTTTCCTAAGGGCCTCGGAGGGCTAGACGGCCCCCGCACTCTAAGACCTCCCCTGCCTTCTTTGCAGGTGCCCCCCCCCCTCGCGCCACCCTTCGGACGAAGCCGGGACGAGGGCAGGTTCGAAGGAGGATAGATCGAGCATCTCGGAGACCTGGCGGCTCTGGAGGACGTATCGGGCGCCGCAGCCTTCTCGGAGCGTCCCAGAACGCTCCGAAAGCGTTCCGGAACGCTCTGGAACGAGAACATCCTCGCTCCAGCCCCGCCCGAGCTCCCCTGCGCGCGCCGGCGAGAATGGCCGATCACCGAGCACGCCTGTAGCACTCGAAGCCTTCGTGCGGCGCCGTCGTCTGGACCTGCCGGTTCCACAGCTCGCAGCGCCCGGCCGCCAGGAACCCGCCGAAGCTGGCCTCGAACTTGTACTCGTAGCCCACGCACGCGTCTTTCTCGGGAGCGGCCGCTGTTTTATGTAGATGCCATGACAATGGACGCTATAACAGTCCTATCGTTGAGTTGGCCAGATCCCTCAAGTGCAGAGGAATGTTAAAAATGAAGGTCGACATGTCGTCGCATGTACACAGCATTGTTAAAACGTGTGTTGGATGTCTGGGATCGGATCGCCTGCGCCAAAATGCACAAACATAAATAACCAAGCAAACATTGGGTCGCATCGCATCGTCGGAATTCCGGAATCGAAACAGATCGGGCCGGGCCACACCGGCATTGAATCATATCGATCGGAGCGAAACAGACCCTGACGGCCATCGTGCTATCGGGAGGTGCGCTGAATGCCAAGACCCCCGGGGGCCGATGTAACAGAAACCCCTGCAACTGGTACGGGATTACAGGAGAAGGAGGAGGAGGAGGAGGAGGAGGAGGGGGATGATGATGATGATGATGATGATGATGATGATGATGATGATGATGATGATGATGATGATGATGATGATGATGATGATGATGATGATGATGATGATGATGATGATGATGATGATGATGATGATGATGATGATGATGATGATGATGATGATGATGATGATGATGATGATGATGATGCTGATGATGCTGAGGAGGAGGAGGAGAAGGAAGAAGAGGTATGAGGGGAGATGGGAACAAGGGAGGAGGAGGAGGAGGAGGAGGAGGAGGACGACGAGGAGAAGGCGGAGGAGGAGAAGAAGGAAAAGGAGGAAGAGGAGGAGGAGGAAGGTGGAGGAGGAAGAGGAGGAGGAGGAGAAGGAGGGAGAGGAGGAGGAGGAAGGAGAGGGGTGAGGGGCAGGATGAGCAGGCGGAGGAGGAGGAAGAGAGGGAGGAGGAGGAGAAGAGAAGGACGGCTGGAGGAAGAGGAGGAGGAGTAGAGGAGGAGGAGGCAGGAGGAGGAGGAGGAGGAGGAGGAGGAGGAGTATGACTGTAGAAGGAGGAGGAGAAGGAGACGGAGGAAAAGGAAGATGGGAACAGAAAGGGCTTGAGGAGCAGGAGGAGGAAGGAGGCAGGAGCGAGGAGGCGGAGGAGAGGGAGGAGGAGGAGGAGTGAGGAGGAAGGTGAGGAGGAAGGAGGGAGGAGGAGGAGGAGTAGGAGGAGGAGGAGGGGAGGAGGAGGCAGTGGAGGAGCAGGCGGAGGAGGAGGAGGACAAGGAGGAGGAGGAGGAGGAGGGAGGAGGTGAAGGGCTGGGTGGGGGGAGGAGGGGGAGGAGGAGGAGAGGAGGAGAAGGAAAGGAGGAAGAGAAGAGGAGGAGGAGGAGGAGGAAGAGGGGAGGAGGAGGAGGAGGAGGAGGAGAAGGAGGGGAGGAGGAGGAGAGGAGGAGAAGGCGAGGAGGAGGAAGGCGGGAGGAGGACGAGGAGGAGAAGGCGGAGGAGGAGGAACGGCTGGACGAGGAGGAGGATGATGATGATGAGGAGGAGGAGGCGGAGGAGGAGGAGGAGAAGGCGGAGGAGGAGGAGGAGAAGGAGGAGGAGGAGGAGGAGGAGGAGGGGGAGGAGCAGGAGGAAATGCTGGAGGAGGAGGAGGAGGAGGTGGAGGAGGAGGTGGAGGAGGAGGTGGAGGAGGAGGAACACGACCCCGAAGGCCCCCACCCAGTGGATCTTCGTGGACCCCGAGGCCTTGCAAGAGGAGAAGGGCGTGTAGGGCCCCGCCTATGGAACTCGAATAGGCCGCTAACTGGATAACTGTGGCCCAAGAGATGGCCACGATCGTTCATCAAGAGACCGTTTCCAGAGGCTTCCAGGTGAACTACCAAGCGTGGAAATCGGAGCTCATGGCAATGTTCGTAGGCAAAGGAGCCCGTCAGGCACGACAAGAGTTTGCTGGCTTTGCCTCTAAAGGTCTTCCAATTCCAGAGCTAGGCGTGAAACTTGCACTCACGGCGAAGTACACATATCTAGGCGCTTACATCGACTCCAAGCTCTGCACGGGCCCCGAGATATCCCACAGGTGTCATCAACTTCAACAACCCCTGTGCGTTCTGAGGCGCACGGCTTTTGCTAGTCGGAAGCTGTCTCTGTCTCACAAGCTCACATATTTACACAAGCTTTGCACACCTCATCTTTTGTATAATGCGTATGTATGGCCCAAGTCCCTGGCCAAGCAGACGCTTCTGCTCGAACATCGGTATGTGTTACCTCTTCGCGAGGCCTCGAACGTCAAGTTTAACGGGATACCTCGTGACAGTGTTGCTGGACACAAGCTCCTGAGTGCGGTTGGTCAGGCCCCGCTTGAGAACATTCTGCGCCTTCGACGGCTAAGATTGATCCCTCGGCTGTTGCAGGCGGCTCCTGTCGCTCTCTTGTCACTTTTGGATGAGGAGGCGCAGGTCAGCACATCCTGGACCAGCCTCATATGTCAAGACTTGATCTGGCTCAGTGAACATGTGCACTTGCCCCGTGAGCTCACACCTTGCGGGCCCCCGTCATGGTGGGTACACCTGATCCGAGTGAGAGGTGTGCGCTTCTGGAAGCGATTGTGCCGCCAAGCCGAGAGAGCGGCGAATGCACGGAGTGTCGACGAGATGCGCAAGCTTAAATGGCGAGACATGAACCGCGACACAGCTGTAGGCACCGGTGTGGAATGCCCCTCTGTGTTGCACACACGTGCGTCTTGGGCCTCACACAGAACGAGAGCACATCCAGGACTGGACCCTGCAGGCAAGCTTGCATCAGGGTCTGTATGCCAATCATGTTGTTTCAACTTTCACAAGAGATTACGGTTGTTGAAGCACTTGCGCCACGGGAAACGTTCGTGCTTAGCCAACCTGCTCGCGGTGCTGCCCGAATTGTCTCCTGAACAGATAGCAGGCGAGCGTGTATCAGACGCCGAAAATCCCAGAGGTTTGCGCAGGCAGGGGTAACTATGAGGAGAAAGCCACTGCCCTACCGTCACGTTTGGTTGGACCTGGTCTGTCAGGCGCGGCCGTCTCCATGGGGCTCCCCGATGCCGTGCACCGCGCTGGGTGCCATCCCGTGCCTGTGGAAGCGAACGTGGCGCCTCTGCCTCCACCTGCTCCTGCCTTCCCTCTCTCTGCCCCGGCCATGTACCTCTTGCACGTCACGTGCTGCACGCGCTCGCTGTAGGATGTATACAAATGGTGGTGCGAGGCGACTGCTTCAGCTCGAGGTCTGTCGATGTGTGTTCTCGCTGTCACCCCTGATGCCATTGAATCAGAGGCTCAACGCAGTCAGCTAATTCAATCTGTTTCGTCCAGAATCGTGTTCGGAGTGCTGGCGTCCCCCAGGGTCGAGACGTGGTGCGGAGAGGCGAGATAACCGTGCCAGGCCTTTTCGTGTAGTTACCTATCCATGGGGTGTCCATGGCCTTGCTCCCAAAGATTGGGCGCGCGTGCAGGTTGATAATTATGCGTTGCGTTTTGCCATTGCAATATCGATCGCGGTCAATGCGGTGCAGACCCCGTGGGTGTTGTTGAATGTGAATCATCGAGTCGCCCCGCACCTCCCGTCCCCCTGGTCGCTACCTGAGCTCGACTGGATCACAGGCCACTCAGATATTCCCCAATCAGAACTTGCCTCTGTAGGGGTCCTAGCGGATTAGAGGGTTAGGTGAGGTGCGTCGCCGATTTCGGTGGCCGGGCCCGGGTGCCCAGGTGCCCGGGTGCCCGGCGGTGCCCGGGAGCCCGGGTGGCCGATGAGGTGCGTGGCCGATTTCGGTGGCCGGGCCCGGGTGCCCGGGTGCCCGGGTGCCCGGGGGTGCCCGGGGGTGCCGAATAGCCGAATAGCCCAATAGCCCAGTAGCCCTATAGCCCTATAGCCGTATAGCCCTATAGCCCTGTAGCCCTATAGCCTTATATCACTATAGCCTTAATAGCCTATATCCCTATAGCCCATATAGCTCTACAGCCCCATAGCCCTATAGCCCTATGGCTCTATAAGTCACAGTCCTATCGCCCTATAACCCTATAGCCCGATAGCCCTATAGCCCTACAGCCCTACAGCCCGATAGCCCTATAGCCCTATAGCCCGATTACCCTATAGCCCTATAAGGGAACAATTGGAAGATTAAAAAAAACTGATTTTCTCCGGTAGCATATGTGATTTCGCCCTCTGCATGTCTGACTCAGAGCGCTTGCCCATGAGGATGATTGCTTCAAGTTTGCACACGCTCGGTGATGACTTCAAGGCAAATTTTGATTGCCTGGATGGGTTCGTGTCCTCCTCCGTCCATTGGCCATCTGCCATGTGCCGTGTCGTTGCTGAATGCCTGTGTCGTCATGCCGCTCGTTCGGCCCCACCGTGTCCGATCGGCAAGTTCACACCGCCAGAGTCGGTCCGCGCCCCGCATGGGTTGGGAACAACTGGGCACCATGCCATGCAAACGTGCTGTCCGAATCCGCCAGTGGCCGTCGTTCGGCAAGCGCCTCCCTGTCTCCAACGGGCAACGTCCGCGGCGACGCCGACAACGAGTCTTGTCGATCGTAATGCGGGATGACGGTTAATCAAAAAAAGGAGAGAGAACGATTAAAAAAATGATTTCCTGCTATTGCTGCACCATTTTCTGACTGGAAGAGAACGATGAAAGAAATAATTTTCCAGCCCGCCCGCGGCCGGTTCTTTCTAATCGTCATCCCGGGCGCCGCCGCGTGAACACGACCCCCGCTCATTTATTAATCGTCATCCTCCAGTATACCGAATCAAGGGGACCGGGGAGGAGACACCGGTAGAACGCAGAACACAGAACGCAGCTGTCCACGCCCGGGGGGGGGGGGGCGTCCCGAAGGCAGGCGACAGGCGTGGCTCGCACGCTGGCCCGTCGAGAGGGACCTGTGCAGCAGCTGCCGTGAAACGTGACGTGCAAGAATGAGGCGAAACAGCCAAACGCTGCAGCGAGATACAGTGCAGCGGAGGCTGGTCCACAAGAAGCCTTCCACAAGAAACCCAACCCTGAGACCCAAGACGTCCATGGGTCTTTGGTGTGGGAGCGTCGCGCTTGCCACAGCAAAGCCACCGCAGCCCAGGAAACCCAGGGCACCCTGGATCGGGAGCGGCCAAGAGGGGGGTGTCCAAGAGGGGGGGGTGCAAATCATGACCGGCGGCATGTGCGCGGCCCAGCGGGGGGGCCAGGGACGTACTAAAATAAGAAGAAGCGCCACGAAATCTGGGGAGATATCATGGCCCACGCCATGATATCCACCCCCCCCTAGTCATCACCCCCCTCTTTTCCGCCCCTGACTGGAGGCAAGCAGGGTGTCTCTTGGCATGGGTCTCCACTGCAGCGCCGACCCAAGCAGTCCGCGCGGACCTCCGAAAGGGCGAGCCGGAATTCAGAAACCAAGGGGGGGTCTGATTTGAGCTGTCTTGGAGGCTTCCTGGGGATCTGGGCAAAGGGCCGCTCTTCCATGGCTGGTCTGAGGGGGGGGGGGGGGGCGGAAACTGCTCGTCAGGGAGGTTTGAGTTCCCCCCCGTTGCTGTGAACTTCGGCATGCTCGTGCCGCTCTGTGAACTTCGACTCGAAGGATGGAGGCTCCACTGGACGGCCGAGTCTCGACCTCGACGACGCTGCAGCATCTCCCTCTCGACCCCCCCCGCGCGGCCCCGGGATGGGGCTGCAGAGGTGCAGCGGGGGGGGCGCCGGGGTGGCCCCTGCCCTCCCAGGGGGCCCCACGGTCGAAGACGCCCGCGCCCACGGCCTCTCGCCCCCGGGGCGTCCGCGGGCGTCGGAGGCGCCGCCCGCGGGGCCCAGCGCGGATCCGAGGAATCCGCGTGGCCCCTGGGCAGCTTGCACTGGCCATCGCTCGGACGTCCATTTCCTGAGTTGTTTTCGGTTTCGTGCGTGGTTTTTTCGCCAAATGATCCAGTATGCTCCTCGATGGTCCTCGCCGAGGAACACACGCACACGTCCAAGCGATGCCAAGTGCATCGGTCGGAAGAAGTAGGCAGAAGCATGAAGCAGGAAGGCGCTGAAAACAGACTGGGTGTCCGCCCGCCCCCTGAAGAGGACGGAACAGGTGGCGCCACTCGATCATTGAAGCAGGAAGGCGCTCAAAGTAGATTGTAATCTGGGACTCCAAGAATACCTCCTGTCAACGACCGATGGGTATGAGGTTTTGTTTTTGTGTTATTCAGTTGCGTTTTTGTAGTATAGTGGTTCGTATGCTCGCCTGGCGGCAGCTACTGACTGTGTAGTTTGTCTTCTTCTGCCCCCCCCCCGTCACTCACAGTTCCTCCAGCGGGCAGGCGGTGGCGCTTGGTTGCATGCATATGGGAAGCGCCGCTGCGCCCATGCAGAGGCAAGAGGTGGCCGAGCACAGCCAGGCGGACTGAGGTACAGAGACAGAGCAGGCACCCGTATGCATACATACACACGACGCCCACCAGGGAAGCCTTCCGAAGCGATCGCGCCGAAGTCCGAAGACACCAACCCACAGCCACCGTCTGGGGGACGTCTGGTTCTCACCAGGGGGAGCAGGCCATGCCAAAAATGAAGTCTAGGGAGTACCTCTGCCAGCTCAAGAGGCAATCATACCGATCGACTGCGATACAAAACGAACTTTCTGAGGGGAATCCTGGAGGCGTCGCGCGGCAACTTGAGACCACATGTACGTCGGATCCATGTCGGATGTTCGTCGGATCCGCATCGGCACATCGCCGCGCGAACGTCTTCCCACATCTTACGGGGCGGGCGTGGGGACTAGACAATACAACTATTGCGCGACGCGCGAGGCCTCCAAGATCTCCTACTGGTGAACTGTTTTCGCAACTGGAAGCGACACACACCACAAAGAGAGGGCTGCAGCGCGCTCGAAAAAAACACCGACAGACCGAGCGCAACCTGTGCGGAAGCACGTCCCGCACGCACTTCACTGGGAGCTGACAGCGTCGAACACACACTCACACACAGACACACACACACACACTCTACAAAACAGCCGCATTGAAAATACCCTTGACTCGCCATCGCAGTGAAATCACTGTCGCTCGACCGCCTCATTCTCGCAACGATGGCATTCAACCTATCGCCATGGAGACAGATGTCGCACACACACACACACACACACACACACACACACACACACACACACACACACACACACACACACACACACACACACACACACACACACACACACACACACACACACACACACACACACACACACACACGCACACGCACACGCACACGCACACGCACACGCACACGCACACGCACACGCACACACACCCACACCACGCACACGCACACGCACACGCACACGCACACGCACACGCACACGCACACGCACACGCACACACGCACACACCCGCACACACACACACGCACACACACACACGGCGTCTCCGATGCGACATGATTTCTGCCATCCTTGCTAGGTCGCACGTGGGAAAAGAGGAGAGCAATGCGGCCTCCTTACACAACGACTCGCAATGTTCGCGCGACTCCGTGTTCTCTACGTCGTAAGATGTTGTCGAAAAGTAATTCCCCCACATCTCGGAGATAACCGTGCCGTCATCCTCGTTCCTGGAGGCATTGCGTGTGCTGCTCCCGACGAGCTGGCAGTGCTATGCAGCTCAAAACCACATGACCATTCACACAAAAGCGTACCCCTCCTCCTCCTTCTTCTCCTCCTCCTTCCCCCCTGTCTCATCCATGAACCCTCATTTTAATAATCCTCCTGGTGATCTTATCTTCCATCCTTTCTCATGCGTTCCAGCCCTCCTCCTCCTCCTCCTCCTTCTCCTCCTCAAGCGTCCCGGCTGCTCCCCGTCTTGCTCCTCCGACGCTGCTACTGCTCCTCCTCCTCCGAACTGTCCTTCATGTGCATCTTCTCTCCTCCGTGCTCCCACTCCATCCTGTCCCTCCTTCCCGCATCCCTTCCTGGAGCTGGTCGTTACCGTGGTCCTCGTTCCTCCTCCTCCTCCTCCTCCTCCTCCCCCTCCTCCTCCTCCCTCCGCTCTCCTGCTCCACCTCCTCCTCCCTCCGCACTCCTGCTCCACCTCCTCCCACCTCCCCCAGCTCCTCCAGCTCATCCTGCTGCGCGTGCTGGTCCCCCCCCCACCCCAACCCTGTCCTCCTTCTACAGGTGCCCTCCTGCTGCCCCATCCGCACTCCTGCTCCAGGCTCGCTCCTCCTCCTCAACTTCCTCCTCCCCGCCTCTCCATCCCACCCCTTCTTGACCCCCCCCCTCTCCTCCCCACCCCTGCTCCTCACCACGTTCCTCCTCACGAGCCCTGTGGGCTTCCAATCCGCCGACGACTTTCCGAGAGGGACCTGCGAGCGTCCTGCTCCTGCTCGTCCTTCTCTCCCCGCTGCCTGCTCCTCCTGCCACAACACTGACGGGGCCCTGGGACACACAAATAAATACACACAACTAAACATTTTCCTCATATGTTCCTATACTTCTTGGGTTTTTTGTCTTTCCCACTTCCCATATTTTCCCATCTTTTCTGGAGAATCGACGACTACTTGTGTCTGTGTTTTTTTTTCCCTCCTGAACCAATATCCCCATCCTGAGACGAAGCCGGGCCTGGGGCACAATGGCACCGGGATGCATGGGGCTTCTCAGAGCACCGGCGGCTGTGGCGGACGTGTCAGGCAACGAGGCCGCTCCAGGGCGCCCCAGGCGTTCTGGGAGCGTTCCGGAGGGCTCTGGAACGACTTACAGTCGAGGCGTTGACCTAAGGAAAGGCCCCTATTCTCAATAAGTTGACCTTCGATTTCGCATCGAAAAGCCTCAGGAAAATCCAAGGCAAGCTGCGAAACAATTAAGGAACACGGAGCCCCTCCCCAACGAAAAAGGGTTCCTTCTTCAAGGCCCCGACTGTGCCAAGTCCTGGCCCCGCCCGACCTCCCCCCAAATCGGGGGGGCGGACGCAGAAGGTGGGGCCATTGCATGGGGTCTGCGGAGTACCGCTCTCAAACGGCTCGGCATTTGCTCATTTTGGGGATTCCGACGGCTCCAGACGGCCCAAGAGGTGCCCAAGAGCGCCCCAAGATCGCCCAGGAAGCCTCCAAGATGGCCCCAGGACGGCCCAAGAGGCCCCCAAGACGGCCCCCAGAGGCCTCCAAGACGGCCAAGATGGCCTCCAAGACGGCTCAGATGGCCCCAAGATGCCTCCAAGACGGCCCAAGATGCACCAAAAACTGCCTAGAATGGCCTCACGATGGCCCAAGACGGCCCATGAAGCTCCCAAGAGGCCTCCAAGACGGCCCAAGAGGCCTCCAAGAGGTCATCCAGGAGGACCCGAAGAGATCAAAATCATTGATGCTCCTAAGGTTTTTGAGGGATGTTGGCATTTGCGTTTGTTTTTGACATTCCGACGGCTTGCCCAAAAGGCCCCCAAGGTCGCCCCAAGATCGCCCTCGAGGCCTCCAAGATGGCCCCATGACGGCCCAAGAGGCCCCCAAAACGGCCCCCAGAGGGCCCCAACAGGCCTCCAAGATGACCAAGATGCACCCAAGATAGCGTAAGATGGCCTGCACATGGCTCCAAGATGACCCAAGATGGCCTCCAAGACGGCTAAGATGGCCTCCAAGACGGCTCAGATGGCCCCAAGATGCCTTCAAGACGGCCCAAGATGCACCCAAGACGGCCCACGATGGCCTCAAGATGGCCCCAGATGGCCCAAGAGGCCCCTAAGCGGCCTCCAAGACGGCCCAAGAGGCGTCCAATAGGACAGCTCCAAGACGGCCCACAAAGGTCCCAAAACCGCCAAAGAAGCCCCGATGACGGCCCCACAAGGCCGCCGGACGGCGCCGAAAGGGGGCCCACAAGGAGAACCCGCACCCGCATTTCCAGCCTTCGGCCCCAGCACGCCATAAGGTTGCCTCAAAACGCCCCCAAGAACCTCCCAGGAATCGGACGAGCCTCGTGGAATGCAGAACTGGACGCGCAGTACTTTGTAGAGGGGTCGACGGATGTGGCGTAAGCCTATGGAGTCGCTCTCACGGCTCATGGGCTCCTGGAGGGAGGACACGTGAGCATCCTGCTGAGCTCGGTCCGTGGCCAGCTTGGGACAGCCCCCCGCCGAAGAACCCCAGATTCGAGTTGCGTTCGAAACAGAATCCCACCTGCCATCTGGGCTGATGAGGTATTTGTTGTACGGCGCTTCCTCTTCAAATCCCCTTTATTAAGAAGTGAGTGACCAGGGTCCACCAGCCAGGTGCTATGTTCATCAACATCTAGCACCACTTTGGCAAGTCAAAACAGGACTTTGTAAGTGGATTCACATGGACCTAGCATTAGTAGTACATCCAAGGTAATACAACTATTGTTTGCTTAAATCCCTTTGGGCAAAGGCTTATCATCGCTGTTGGTTAGCAGACACCCACTCCCGAGGTTCAACAAGATCGGTTCCCCAGGCTGTGGGTAAGGACGTATGTGCCCAACCACGTCCGTGAACACGGCACCCCAATCCGCGAGACCGGCCGCGTGCTACAAACGTTCGCGTAATGCGCACTCTCGAAACCAACGTGGATTCGTGTACGTGTACGTCCTCCTTTTGCTCCCGAATGAACGGTCGAAGCATGTATTAAGGACGGGTCGTAAGGACGAAAGACCCTTAGAGGCCGAAGTTGAGACTGCTGAGCGGCGGGCGACCAATGAAAACGGCGCAGGACGTTCCGCAGAGGCAAGGACACAAGGGCACCCTAGAGAAAGGCGCGCGTTATTACTAGGCGCGTTGACTGTCTGCGAGTAGGGGGTCGACTTGATTTACCCTCAAATTGATTTCCTCGTCGAGTCTACAATTATCCCGGCAAAGCAACCTAACAGCGATGTGTAGGAGCTTATCTGTAAGCATTCCCCTTGAGATTCAGATGAACATCCAGTTGTAGAATTCTGCTGTTCTCGCAGTCGTAGTCGCATTCGCGATAACAGTCGCAGTGGCAACGGCAGTCGCAGTCACAGCCTCAGCCTCAGCCTGCCTCAGCCTCAGCCTCAGCCAGCCTCAGCCTCAGCCTGCCTCAGCCTAGGCCTCAGCCTGCTTCAGCCTCAGCATCAGTCTGCCTTCAGCCTCGGCCTCAGCCTCAGCCTGCTTCAGCCTCAGCCCGCATCAGCCTCAGCCTGCCTCAGCCTCAGCCTCAGCCTGCCCTCAGCCTCAGCCTGCTGCCTCAGCCTCAGCCTCAGTCTGCCGTCGGCCTCGGCCTCAGCCTGCCTCAGCCTCAGCCTGCATCAGCCTGAGCCTCAGCCTCAGCCTCAGCCAGCCTCAGCCTCAGCCTCAGCCTGCTTCAGCCTCAGCCTCAGTCTTCCTGCAGCCTCGGCCTCAGCCTCAGCCTGCCTCAGCCTCAGTCTGCTCAGCCTCAGCCTCAGCCTGCCTCAGCCTCTCAGCCTCAGCCTGCCTCAGCCTCAGCCTGCCTCAGCCTCAGCCTCAGCCTGCCTCAGCATTCAAAATCATGCCCAAGAATGGAGCTCTGGGAACTCGAAGAACACGAAGTGGCCTACAGTTGGCTCCGGGCATTCAAAATCATGCCCAGTAATGGAGTTCTGGGAACTCGAAGAGCACGAAGTGGCCTACAGTTGGCTCCAGGCATTCAAAATCATGCCCAGGAATGGAGTTCTGGGCACTCGAAGAACACGAAGTGGCCTACAGTTGGCTCCGGGCATTCAAAATCATGCCCAGGAATGGAGTTCTGGGAACTCGAAGACCACGAAGTGCGTTACTGTTTGCTAAAAAATCCCTGGCATCCTCCCCCGGATCGCGCCCAGACCCCCCTGGGACGTCAAGATGCTCTCTTTTGACCCTACTAGTCGCTGTTAGGTAAAAAAAGACGTAGCATCTCTCATGTATTCGACGATGAGAAATATTTGGTGGGGGCAAATCAAATCTGTAGTCGATCCCCTACTCGATGAATAGATCCCAGCCTCGGACAAGGGCTCTCGAAACGGAACAGAACATATCCGCCCGCCGCGCTCTCTGCCCGTGGTGCTCGCCAGCCGCCTCGAAACAAAAAAGCTCGGTTTCCCGCGGGGGTTCCGGAGTCCCCTGGAGTCTCCCATGAGGTCAGGAGGCCTCCAGCAACAAAAGCAGCACACACACCATCCACCGGCCTCTACCATCACCTCCACGATCCTCGACCTTCATCCTCGTCGACCTTCCTTGATCTTCCCCCTCCTCCTCCAGCTCCTCCTCCTAATTAGGGGCCACAGGCTCAGCATCCAAACGCCTCGGCCCTCGAGCCTCGATATTCCGCCTCCTCTCGACGAGAGAGAACTGCGCATATACACGGATCCTGGCCACGCCTATCCTGAGCCCATGGTCTTGATGGATGAACAAACTACCCTACCCTGGGTTACAAGTGCGTGGTCTGTAAACCTCCTGGGAACCCCCAAAGCCTAGAGCCGCCAGGACGCGGCACATCACGCAGGGATTACCCTGTCAACCCACAGGAGTTTCAGCGCACAACGCCTCGTAAACCAGGGTAGGGGCGTTTTCTATGCCCTTGATGATCGGCATACGCCCACCAGAACTGGCCACGGAGGCATGTTACCCATGTACCAATCCTGGGCCCGGGATCGGCCT